GTTCTGACACTCTGGTGTTCCTGCGCTACAACAACAAAGTAGTCTCTAAACAACTCATTAGTCAGTCATCACAAGAACGGAGACAAAGTGATTGGTCTCTTCCAAGCTTAATACTTCAAAATAAGAAGTACATCATTAGAAGATAAAGATCAAGAAACTTAGTCTAGAAGAAAAGAGTACAATAACAGTACTATTAGTAGTTGTTATCCCACTGACATACGCCATTACTGCAAGCAGAAGGTACAGGAAAATGGTGTTTTATACTGTTCCAAACCTCTCTTGAATATATCTGTTGGGATTCAACTATTGGAAGGAGAAAATACTTCTATATCCTTATAACGACTCTTTTCATCTGGAGGATATATAAAGAAGACTAAAGCTTTAAAATTCAAATTGACAAAGATATTGGCAAAGAAGAAAATGTCTAAGTCCAAACAACGTTGTTGTTCTTAATAGAAAATATTTACAATGTTAAAGATATAAAATGAATAAGCAAGGAGTTGAAGCTCATATCTTTCTTAAAGAAGAAAGAAGATGAATAATTCTACAAGATGTTATTCAACTATCAATCATTTACATATTGGAAGAATTATGAAGAAGCAAGGAGTTGTTGCTCATATCTGACTCAATGAAGAAGATGAAGATAAAAAGACTACAAGATGCTGCATTTAATTTAGATTATATTCATTTATGTAGAAATATTGTAAAATACAAGAGTTGTTGCTCATATTGGGTTATTTCTTAAGAATCTTCATCTAAGTTGTTTGTACACAAGAGTTGTTGCTCAGAATTGTCAAACAAAATATACTTAAGATAGGAGTAATCTGCTTGATAAGAAGAATTCATGTAATATCCAAAAAAAATTCTATTTAAAATTGGTGGTTCCTCAAGTGGTCGAGTAAAGATCATAAAGCTGACAAGACGAGTGGCTACGAGCCTTCGTAGATGAATCATATTCTAAGGAGACCTGTTGGTCAGAATCCTTATGGGGTCAATGATCCCTAACATTTCTAAGTGTACCAGATAGGTTATGAATCTTATGAGATCACTAGTTGAGGATCATTGTGAAAAATCCCTCATAGAAAGATTAAGTTTGATCATATTTGTGATAAGGTCAATGATTGTTATATCTCGTAGAGATCACTAAACGTATCATTGTGTTATTCCTTAAGTGATCGAGTGAAGATCAGAAGACTTGAGATGACAATGGCTATAGGTCATTGTGAAATCCTGTTAAGAAGATTGGGTAGGTTAGTTTTCTTAAATGGTCAATGGTTGATGATCATTGTGGTTGTTAGTCACCAACAGGTAGCCCGTGCGATTATAATCATGATTTGGTTATAGTGGATTAAGTCCTTGTTGAAGGCAAAATCACCTGAGGAGGATGGACATAATTAGCCTAGTTAATGATGAATATGGATAACTGAATGTGTCTCTATATATTTGTTGCATTCTATATTCTTTCATAGTTCAATCAAATTGTTTTCTAAAGGGGAATATTTTATTAAAACTCAATTCAAACCCCCCTTTCTTGTGTTTTACTCTCCCTTCATGTCCAACCACCTATTTCCAACAATCATATCCTTTATATATTTATGAAAGATTAATAATTCCTCTAACACATGTAACTCTGGATTATGTTCTAGCACAAGAGAAAATACCCTTTCTTTGTTGCGCATAATGTAACATAACATTTTGGCATATGATAAGACATACATTTTTAATTACCAAAGCGATTTAAATAACACTTAACATATGAACAACAAGTCATACTTACAATTTTCTCTACGACTAATCTTGAGGCATCTGAAGTGTAGTATCCATTTAGTCTTTGTCGTGCCCTCATCCACTTCTCATGTTGTGATGGTGGAGATGGTTTCCTATTACGACTCATGGAATCCCCATCTCCTAGTTGTTGTCTTTTTTTAGCAATCATTGTTTTCTCAAATTTCTTGTATCCGCCACGAGAAAATCTATTGGGGGTATTTTTTTTTAGAGTTGTTTAGTTTTTCTGCTTCACTTTTAACCTATTTTAAACATAGGAAAAATATTAACATCCATGGTTATATCCATAAAATTATTAGAAAACACAACTGGTACTAACCATGAACTCCTCAGAACTACGAGACTTCACAAACTTTTCCCAAACCTTCTTGTCAAGATAAGGTTATTTCACCCACAAGCGCTCAATATTAGGCTTAAACTTTGTAGTCACTCGTGAGCCATGACTTAAAACTCCTCCAAGTCATACCAACATAAGTGATCCATTCTTTTTTCAATTTCGAATCATCACTAAACTCAAACTTCAACTACATATTTACATAAATAAGTATGTATTAGTGTTTATATAAAGTAATATTGAATCGATGGAAATTAAAATTAATACCTGAACGTCAATCCATATGCTCCTTTTCACCTCACCTATTATCTTTCCAATCATCTAACAATAAGATGACTTTGTTACATCCAAGGAATGCAACATAACTCTTAAAAAGTGAAGAGTGAAGACCATCAAGAGTCGTATAAACGACACTAAACTCGACAAGAAGTTTAACACCCGAGTTGCAGACTTTTTTTAATTTAGCCATAATTGTGGCACCTCATTGTTTATTTTCTATTCTCCTCCTACAGATTGATAATCATTTTTACTGGTTTCACTTGTATACGTAGCTACGTCTCTACTAGATGAAGGAGAAGCCATCTATCAAGAAAAAACAATCAACATCAAGACACAAACATCAGTAATAATAGCATTATTAACACAATGACATCATTAACAACAGTGACATCAGCAACACAATGGCATCAACAACAACAAATACATAAGCAACAATATGGCATCATCAAATAATAGCATCAACAACAAGAATTGCATCATAAACATCAATGGCATCAACAACAACAAATACATAAGTATCATTGGCATTATCAACACAAAGGCATCATCAACAACAACAACTACATAAACAACAATGGAAAATGATGGTACTGTAGATGCATGGAGAAAATATTTACGTACCAAATGTGATGAATAAGTAAAAAAAATATTGTCAGAATCTTTGAGTTCCTCCTTGACACCTAAACTAAAGGCCAGTCAAGAACAAAGAACACGATATCAGATCCTTCCTCGATTGTACGAAAGCACAAACGTTGGTTGAAAATGGAATTTTTTCTTGAGGTTTGAAGATGGTGTTGTATGTTTTGTTAGGGTTGAAGCTGGTTTTGTTTGATTAGGATTGAAAATGGTGTTGTTTGGTTAGGTTTAAAAGTCGTGTTGTTTCGTCAGGGGTTGAAATGACGTTGTTTCATGATGGAAATGAAAATATGCAACTGAAGAGACAAGTTAGCTAGCTATGTTTCCTTAAAGTGAATAAATCATATTACTACAGTTGTTTATCAAAACCATTGTGATATATGATGAAATTTTGTAAACAAGTGTCAGGTTTTAAGCATTTAGATTTTTTTAAAAATAACGAAAAATATATCATAACGATTTTTTAGACAGCCGTGGTGATATAAGATTTACATTAATGATATTTTATAAATTAACGCCAGGTTTTAAGTAATTAAATTTTTTTTAAAAATAGAAAATATATCACAACGATTTTTAAATAAAAATGAAAGATGTAACTAAAATACTAAAAAATCATGAATTAGCAGGCGCTAAGAATCGAACGCATGAAACTCCAACGAATATTACTATAGTTGTTTTAATAACCCATGGTAATCAATTAAAAATGTTTAATTAAAAAATAAAAATAAATATAAGCACCTAAATTTAGAGATATCCCCGGTCCTTCGAAGGACCATAGTAGCGATGGTGTCATCGTATGTACTTTTTGTAGTAGGGTTTCATAGTGGTTTTGTTTAACTTCCTATAGTCAATGCATATACACCACCAGGTTATTATCCTAGTAGCAACTGATTCTCCTTTCACATTTTGTACTATATTCATTCCTCCTTTCTTTTGTACTACTTATACTGGATTCACCCACTTGTTGTCAGAGATATGATGTATTATGCCAGCATCTAGAAGCTTTAGAACATCCTTTTCACTACTTCACTCATGTTTGGGTTCAACCTTGTTTGATGTTCTTTATAGGGTTTGTAATCATCTTCTAGTATAATTTTATGCATGCATACTGAAGGGATGATAGCTTTGAGGTCATCTATGGTGTAACATATAGCTTCTGGTTACTTCTTTAACATAACAAGTAATTGTTCGGTTTTTTCTTTTCCTAATTCAGAGTTTACATTGACTGACCAGTTACACTATAGAAGTTTGTACCTAAGGTTATAAAGGAGTAACATGAGTTTTACTTTTGGCCGCTCTGGCTCTTGCATCATAGTAGGAATAAGGACAAAACACTTATTTTGATCAATTGGACTTGCATCCAATATGTCTTGATAAGTCTCAACTTAATGCAGGGAATTGAGAAACTTCCTGAAAATTTCAGTTTTGATAGCACCTTATTTTGGATAATGGGGTTGCACTCCTCAGTGAGTACTACAATACCATCATCATCGATCTTCCTCTTATTTGTGAGGATTTCCTTTAAGAATTTTGCTTACAAGGACATATGGGTTATTGCTTTATATATATATATATATATATATATATATATATATATATATATATATATATATATATATATATATATATATATATATATATATATATATATATATATATATATATATATATATATATAGAGAGAGAGAGAGAGAGAGAGACAGAGAGAGAGAGAGAGAAATTCACCTCTTACAATAAAAAGTGCGGACAAGAAAAAACACGTGAAATCATGTATACGTAGAGCTTGAACTTTAATTATTGTTATAGATGTCTTATTGATAAGTATGAATACAAATCAAATGGTTTATTATAAAAATAATTTAAATTAAAAATAAATTAAGCAAACAAATGCTTATAATTTTACGTGTGTGTACATTAAGAATATAGACAGACGGACACAAGAGTGCTAGTCTCGACACTTGTGTAACTAATGATCATGAATCATTTCAAGAGCACTCGTTATGCTTAGCCTGGTATACAACATGCCACCCTGCATCAGTAGGATGACCCATATCCCAAAAGAAAGTAGATTCAGGATTCTCAAAAACCATATACTTTTCAACCTTATCTACAACCATTCCATAATAATACTCCCTACTCACTCCAATACAACAAGGTTCCAACTCATTCTTAATATTGTGTGTGGATGGATTATTTAACACCGACATCAAACTATCGAATATATCAAGAACCATAAAGGGTAATAAAGAATGATCCTCGATTTTTTGGTTCAATTTTGTCACAACTTCGGTTAAAAGGGTGTTATGGTGAGTTACAATGAGGTTGTTGGTTGTTTCATTGCATAGTTTGAATGAAGATGAAGCTGTTTGATAAGGTAGACATCCAATTGGTAGTAGATTTGATATAATCACTTTTTTGACTCCTAATTATTTGATGCGAATTACATTTGTGATTGTTTGATTAACCACTGATGACATGAATGATGGTAAACCCTGCATGTATAATAAATAGACAAATGAATGTTCAATCTTATTCATCCAAATTATTAAGTTAGTAGAATGAGTTTTTAAAAAAAGAACTAAATTTTTTTAAGGTTGAATGATAAAATTTTTAAGCCAAATTATTTATTTCAAATTAACAAGTAAACAAAAAGCGTGTACCTGAATAGAGCCATTTTTGGAATTATAATGAATGTAGTCATTGACAGCGACAGAAACAGGAACAACTGAATTTATAAAATCTGAGGTTGTAAGTACTTCATCTTCTATTTCCTTTTGAAATAAATCTATGTGTGTTGTCATATTTGGTGGACCTAGATTTAATGTCTCAAACACACCAGTACCACTAAATGCAAAGCTCATTCCATTTTTCAATTGATGTGGTGTCACACGTTCCCGTGTACAACAACAAATGCATAAGCATCATCATCAACAAAATGGCATAAATAACAACAAATACATAAACAATAATGGAGAATAATGGTACTGTAGATGCATGGAGAAAATGTTTACGTACCAGAAATATGATGAAAAAGTAAAAAAAATATTGTCAGAATCTTTGAGTTCATCCTTGACACCTAAACTTAAGGTTAGTTGAGATCAAATAACACAGTATCAGATCCTTCCTCAATGGTACAAAAGCACAAACGTTGGTTGAAAATTGGGTTGTTTCTTCAGATTTAAATATGGTGTTGTATGATTCGTTACGGTTGAAACTGGTTTTGTTTCATTAGGGTTGAAAATGGTGTTGTTTGGTTAAGTTTGAAAATCATGTTGTTTCGTCAAGGGTTGAAATGACGTTGTTTCATGATGAAAATGAAAATATGCAACTGATGAGACAAGTTAGCTAGATATATTTCCTTAAAGTGAATAAATTACATTACCACAATTGTTTATCAAAACCATTGTGATATATGATGAAATTTTATAAAAAAAGTGTCAGGTTTTTAGCATTTAAATTTTTTTAAAAATAATGAAAAATATATCATAACAGTTTTTTTAGACAACCGTGGTGATATAAGATTTACATTAACGATATTTTATAAAAAAGACACTAGGTTTTAAGTAATTAAAAATGAGATTAATTTCTATGCACTGCCAGTGTAACATTTTTTACACGGTCAGTGCATCACAACCACCCACTAATGTTATTTAATAAATAATTAAAATAAAAATAGAACATAATTTACAATCTAACGATCATGATTCACTGATAGTGTAAAATTTTTTTACATTGTCAGGGTATTTCAATTAAATTCATTAAAAATTAAAAAAATAGAAAATATATCAAAACGGTTTTTAAATAAAAATGAAAGGCACAACTAAAATACTAAAATATCACGAATTAGCAGGCACTGAGAATCGAACTCATGAAACATCAATTGATATCACTACAATTGTTTTAATAACCCATGGAAATAAATTAACAATGTTTAATTAAAAAATAAAAATATATATATAGGTGCCTGAATTTAGAGATATCACCACGGTCCTTCGAAGGACCATAGTAATGGTGGTGTTGTCGTATGTACTTTTTGTAGTAGTTCTTCCTAGTGGTTTTGCTTAACTTCCTATAGTCAATGCACATACGCTACCCTATTATTGTCCTAGTAACAACTAGTTCTCCTTTCTTATTTTGTACTATATTCATTCCTCCTTTCTTTGGTACTGTTTATACAGGACTCACTCACTTGTTATCAGAGATATGATATATTATGATAGCATCTAGAAGCTTTAGAACTTCCTTTTTCACTAGCTCGCTCATCTTCGGGTTCAACCTTCTTTGATGTTCTCTATAGGGTTTGTAATCATCTTCGAGCATAATTTTACACATGAACACTGAAGAGATGATACCTTTGAGGTCATCTATGGTGTTACATATAGCTTCTGGTTACTTATTTAACATATTAAGTAGTTGGTCGATTTTGTATTTTCCTAATTCAGCGTTTATATTAACTGATTGGTTAGACTCTAGAAGTTTGTACCTAAGGTTAGGGAGTAACTTGAGTTTTACTTTTGGCTGCTCTGGCTCTTGCATTAGAGTAGGAATAAGGGTGAAACACTTGTTTTGATCAATTGGACTTGCATCTAATATATCTTGATAAGTCTCTACTAAATGTAGGGAATTGAGAAAATTTCGGGATCTTTTTGCTAATGCAACATCTTATTTTCGATAATGAGGCTGCACTCCTCAGTGAGTGCTACAGTGCCATCATCACCGATCTTCCTCTTATTTGTCAGGAATTCCTTTAATAAATTTTCATACGAGGGAATATGGTTTATTGGTAGAGAGAGAGAGAGAGAGATTCAACTTTTACAATAAAAAGTGTGGACAATCATAAACACGTGAAATCATGTATACATAGAGCTTAGAATTTAATTATTGTTATAGATGTCTTATTGATAAGTGTGAATACAAATGCTTTATCATACAAACAATTTAGATTAACAATAAATTAAGCAAAAAAAGTTTATATTTTTTTACGCGTGTGTACATTAAAATAATGAACATAAGGGCACAAGAGTACTCGTATGGACATTTGTGTATCTAATGATCATGAATATGTTCAAGAGCATTCGTTATTCTTAGCCTGGTAAAAACAGCATGCCACCCTGCATCAGTAGGATGACCCATATCCCAAAAGATAGCGGCTTTAGGATTTTCACAAACCTTATACATCTTAACCTTCTCCACAACCATTCCACAAAAATACTTACTACTCACTCCAATACAACAAGGTTTCAAGTCATTATTAATGTTGTATGTGGAAGGATGCTTCAACACCCACCTGAAACTATCGTATATATCAAGAACTATAAAGGGTGATGAAGAATGATCCTTGATTTGTTGGTTCAATTTTTTCACAGCTTCGGTTAAGAGGGTGTTATGGTAAGTTACGATGAGGTTGTTGGTTGTTTCATTGCATTGTTTGAATGAAGATGAAGTTGTTTCATAAGGTAGACATCCAAGTGGTAGTAGATTTGATATAATCACTTTTTTGACTCCTAATTCTTTGATGCGAATTAAGTTTGTGATAGTTTGATTAACCACTGAAGATATGAGTGATGGTAAACCCTGCATGTGTATAATAAATAGAAAAATTAGAAATGAATAAACAATTAAAGCTCAAAATTCCTTAAACATAACAAAGTATATGTTGGTGACTCTATCATGCATTTTTGTGCATTCCACGTTGCAACTTGCAATTGATAATAAGTTTAAGATAATTAAATTTTTGATTTCAAAATAACAAGTAAACAAAAAACATGTACCTCAATAGAGCCATTTTTGGTAGTATAACGATTGTAGTCATTGATAGCGACAGAAACAAGAGCAACTGAATTTATAAAATCTGAGGTTGTGAATACTTCGTCTTCTATTTCCTTTTGAAAGAAATCTATTTGTGTTGTCATGTTTGGACCTTGATTCAATGTTTCAAACACACCAGTACCACAAAATGCAAAGCTCATTCCATTTTTTAGTTGATGCGGTGCCACATGTTCTCTTTTACTATATGATGCTGGTAATTTCACATTCAAATACTCAGCTGCAATTGCATGCATAATGTAAATAATCACATACATTTTTTCAATTTCATTTCATAGTAAAAAAGAATTCAAAGTGAAGCAATTGGACAAACCAATGTAGTCGGTGAGGACTCTTCCGTCAGAGAAACGACCGGAGGGTTTGCCGGGAAAGGTGATACCATAAGGTTGTTTCCATGAAGGAGAAAAACCTTTTTTGTTAAGGTTACCTGTGTCAACATATGAATCTCCAAACACAAACAATTTTGTTATAGGTTCTCTATGATGATGATGTTGAATATCAACTTCACCTTGTACAACTCTTTGTCCTATGAATAAACAAATAATTTAAGGTTAACATGAAACAATGAATTTAAAACTGAAAGAAAAAGAAAACATTTTAGTTAGTTAGTTAGTTAGTTTGTGCACCTGAGAGATGTAGAATGATAAAAATGAAAGAGAGGATAAAGGGAAAGAAATCCATGAATGGGTTTTGCGAGAGTGAAGTGATGAATGAAGGTTTTGAGATTTGAATAAAGGAATAGATGTGTGTGTGTTGTATTTTAAATGGATTGTATTTCTATTTAAACATCAATAAAGTTAACACCCTGTATACACAATATGAATGATACAATTAACTACAGGATGATTTGTATTAAAATAGAGAAAAAAATTATAGTTTTCTAAATATAATAAAACAAAATCGTATTGTTATACGATGTTGGTGTCAATTTAGGTGTCAAAATATCAATTCTCGAGTATTGGATTGCTATTTGAACATCCATAAAGTTAACACCGTATATACACCGTATTGTATGAATGACGCAATTAGCTATTGGATGATTTGTATAAAAATAGAGAAAAAAAATAGTTTTCTAAATATAATAAAACAAAACTGTATTGTTATACGGTGTTAGTGTCAATTTAGGTGTCAAAATATCAATTCTCTTATTTTAAAGTGTCATCTCCACTCAGTACTCCATTATTTTGATGGGTTAATTGTAACACCCACATAAAATATATTCTAGAAATAGATTATATATAGTGTAAGTTGGTACTGATATAACATAAGAGTCTATCCGCATTCGTTATATATACATGTTCAAAAGAAAATATATAACTATAACACATGATATACAAGAGTTCCTAATCAAAAACTAAGATTTATGTACCATATCCACATTGTACATAATCCACAATGGAAGATCATGATAACACAAGTCTTCGAAACATCATCATGAAAACTTTCCCTTGACTTTAACTTGTAAAGAACCACCTGAAAGCAACAATACTACTGGGGAGAGATAATAATCTCAATGAATTCCCATATAATATAGGTTTGCTCGACTCTAAAGGACTATTATTGTTTCTTTCTCAACTTAAGCATTTCCTCTATACATTACTTTTATATCACTCACACAATCTAACTAGGACTTAAGAATTCAAGGGGTTTTACTATTCGTATGGAAACATGTAAACATGAGTTCATCAACTCAATAAATTACTATTCAGAAATGTACCAAAGTATCTTTCCTCGAATGATCCTATGTCTATGACTATGGACACGAGTCACAAATCTTTGTATCATGATTCGACTTTCACATTGAGCTTAGATTCTCCATGGGGATCGAACTCACTTTAAGAACCATCACTCGTATAGGACTCAATCCCACTTATGAGCATTCTCTCCTTTATATGACTCTATCCCACTTAAGATATATCTTTACTCTATGGGACTCGAACCCACTTATGATAAATGTGAATCAATAGTGCGTATATCCTAATATTGCTTTACATAAGCATTGCAATCGGGACAGGCACAAATATAGGTTATTTTT